GCCGTTCTCTAAACCAAATGACCCTTATTCTATTGCGGGTTGGAAGCAGATACGGGTAAGCCGGTTTCTACCAAAACTGGACATGATGAAATCTTGGGCGACACTTGAGTTCATGAAACGTGCGAGCCCGAGAATTCGCAAGGTGGCATCGGGGATGCAGGAATCATCATCCGAGAGAGAGACACTGCGGGCCATTAAGAGTGGAGATCGATACCTACTTGTAGTACCCTTGGGAGGGTTTGAATTGGGCACCGATGTATACCTAATTCTGGCACCAGAATACCGCAACCGGTTTAAAATATACTACGAAGGGCAGCTCTTCCCGTCAATTGTGCATGTGGTGGTTAACCATGAGTTCATGGTAACGATTGCGATAGAAGCTACGGGGGATAGAAGACTCAACGGGAGTGACATATCGATGTTTGGGTCCGTCGTCCACCCGGGAGGGGAGAGCAGTAAGAAAGCCATCAAGGCATTCATGACAGACGTTAGAGACTCATCATCAATACCTTTGTGTCCGGCGCCAGTGCGAGACGAGGACATCCCCGCTCTGGAAGGTATGAGTGCACACCTTAGGGATTCTGCTGGGATTCACCCTCGAGTACTGGAGTTTGAAGAAGCACAAAGAATGGTAGATTCTGAACTCGCAAATATCCCCCCGCAACATGTTAAATCTGCAAAAGGGAAGGTTGAAGATCCCCTCGTAACTACAGATGCCACAAACAGCTACATCGACAAGGCGTTTCCCGGGGTATCTAAACCTAGAGGATGGGTCCCGACAATGGATGACTACATTGAAGCCGCAAAGTATGAGATGATGGATGCAAAAAATAAGACCAGGTTGGATCTCGCGCTTGCGGAACAACAAAAGTTTTGGGCCCGTAGGTCCGGAGCCCCCGCAGGCACTCCAGAGTGGACTTGGAGCTTGGACAAGACACTCACCAAGTATTACGATATTTCGACTATAGCCAATGAGCTTGAAATGCTGCGTGATTGGAGTGGCGATCCAAGGCTAGCTGTAAACGACGTTATTGAAGTGTACGAGAGGCTGTGCGCATCTCTCCTCTGTACCGAATCCGGCACTGGAGGTGATTCCACATACCAGAGTGATGGCCAAGACAGCACTGTGTTGGGGGTTGTTGCGGGAGTAGAACTTTTAGATTTCTCAAAGTCAGCACCCAAGATGCGGAAGCGACCGTCGTTCCACGATGACCCCGTGGAGATGATCATCCAGAGAATGCTATGCGAGAGGGACCTCGTAAACAAAATATGGGAGGTCTATTCATTCGAAAAACACGGGATAATCTACTACGCGAACCCTGCAGGTCGAGGGTATCGAGCTGGAATGCCTGGGTGTGGGAGGTTGTGGTGCAACTTTGGTGGTCCTAACGCCATGTGCGTTCCGATCTACACACCATCATCAATCCCAAGCGAAATTGTCGGGTTCCTGAAGAAAGATGGTGGAGTGCTATATGCTGAAAATGATGTGTCCAGGGCGTTTGCTAGAATTAGGATCCACCCCGAGCTGGCGCGCTGGCTTGTGGTACTTGTAGGCCCTGACACGTTCTTTCCTACGCGTGGTGTACTGGGGTTCTCACCATTCCCAGCACTCTTTTCGATGGCAGTATATCCGAAATTTAATAGTATGAGAATTTCAAATGAGGCCCTCAAGAAATGGTGGAAGAATCTTATCCAAGCACTTCGAGATGATCGCAGTGGTGGTGTGCCGTCTCCTCTAGGTGGTTTCCTGGGGGTAGGTGGACACCTGTAAACAACAAAGGAAATATGAACATGAAATGAGATGGTGTGATGGGGATCACAGGAATCACAATGTGGGTGGAGCCAACAAATCAAGGTTAGTGAGAAACGTCATGCATGTACAGATGAGGGTCCAATATCCGTAGCAACCTTTAAGACATCGCACACCACCGTTTGGTGCGTCGAGGGTCAGATGTAGATTTCGAGATACCATTTTTGGACCTCCACCTTTGGGGGCGACAATAAGTAAACATACCCAACTACAAACTCACCAGGGACTACACTTTGAGGCGCGAGGTGTCACGATTGAGGTTACTATCAGCATTCATCACTTTGAGGGGACCTCAAAGCTGTAACAAAATATGCCGATTCCTTTAACACGCCGCCCCGTCGAGGCGTTCCATCCATATAAGGGTCAGTGCCGTGGTGCTGTGGATTGCTTCCACACATATGGCGGTCGACAGGTGTCCCTGTTTGACCCGCTAACTGTCCTGGACCAGGAGCCAAATCCACCGCTCCGGCATCATGATCTAAGGCATTTTGGACGCCCAGACATTGGGTATGAAAGTCCTTTGCCTGTAATACCTAGAAGTGACTGCGGGGACCGCATTTGGGATGATTTGAAGTTCGGGTCCGGGAACGTTCCTGAATTTTGGCCAGAACCTAAGGTGGATGAATGCTCTCGTGACACCAATGATGGGAGTGCAACGTCGAAGGCAACGCCAATGGCTCCATTGGCATCTTTGGGACCGTCACATCACAATATCCCTGGAATTGTTGTTGTGAAGAAAACAACACAAAAATTGAAACATGGTTTTAACGATCAGAACACCGGAGGGAAGACCACAAGATCACAAGTATCAAACCCTGTTCCATTGTCATCTTTGGGGCCGCCACATCACGATATCCCTGGAATTACTGTTGTGAAGAAGGTCAAGTCACATAATAAGGAGTCTTAAAAGTGGTCGTTAAGGTGGAGTCATGGCAGACAATACAAGGAAATTATCAATCGGATGGAATGGCAAACACATCAATAACATCACGAGTGGCAGAAGGATATCGACATGTAACAACAAAGAATGAAGCTGTTTATGCCCAAATCTTATCATGCACTACCGCAACCTTGTTTTTTGGAGACAGACACATTGCGATTTTTTGTTGTTCCCCGGCAGTCACATCACGAGATCTCGAAATTGCGAGTGCACGAGTGATATCATATCACAATCTGAGTATCCACTTTTTTCACTCTGACGATCCATTTTTTTCTTCACGACCCATTTGGCAGTTACAACCATCATGTATCAAACGTTCACCATGTACCAAATGTTACAGGAAATGAGTCGCTGAATCCCAGCATTTGCACCTGTAACACGATTACAACATTTTCAATCTGTGTTTGAACCTAACAATTTCGACTTGTGAAAATTCGAGTAGAAAACAGACCAGAAAAGACATACCGCCGCTGATAGCAATACAAGCTGTATTTGTTACATCTCCAATACGAAATTCGCCTCATCAGTAGGTAATCACAACTCGCACACTACTGTAAAACTTCTAACTGTAATATTTAACGACAGATGACTTCTGTCGATGACAAGATGACGGAGGGGGATTTGGTGCAAGAAGACTTCGGTGAAGGTACTACCGTCGTAGAAGAGGTGACTGCCGGAGACCAGGGAGCCCCTGGTCCTCCTATAGGGTCCGAAGAAACCCCAGGGGATGCAAGTGGTAACAATGTCATCCAGACTTCCGGGGGGACGGAAGCTGAAGGGAATGAAGAATCTCGTACGAATAAAGGGAATGAGTTGGATGAAAGTCTGCTGTCAAGTGACGATGGGGATATTGTAGGGAGGCCTGTTGGGTGTGACATTCCACCAAGACCAATGGAAACTTCCAAAATCAAGAAGGTAGGATCGTGCTTTGGGTTCACCAAGGCGCATTTAAAAAATGCAAACATCTCTGGTGGGTTGTGCCACGTGTTTCGTGGAATGGTGGAGTTGGGGTTGATTGTGAGGTATCCTGAAGCCACTGGTGCCTGGAGGCTGAAGGAAGACATCATAAAAGATCACCCAACCAGTGATGTGGAGATGCTATCTTCAAAGTCGAAGAAAGAACTCGAACAAAAGACGGCTGAAGAGCACGCAACGGGGAAATGGCATCGAGTCATAGATAGGGAAGTTGGTGGGGGACCTAAAACCAGTAAGGATTTTGAATACTCGAGTAATCGGGTATTGAACCCAAAAGCTTTCTCTGATATCGAACCAGCAGAAGATCCAATGAGGAGGCAAATGTTTGAGGAAAGGCACAAAGCTGAAGGTCAAAGTGGAGTCTCGTCGTCAAAGCAGGGCGAAAGTTCATCATCAAAGTACCAGCACCAGCAGGGTGGAAGCTCCTCATCAAAGTACCAGCACCAACAGGGTGGAAGCTCCTCATCAAAGTACAAGTACCAGCAAGGTGGTAGTTCATCGTCAAAGTACCCGACGTCTTCGAAGCAGGGTGGAAGTTCTTCATCCAGCTGGTGGGAGGGTTCTACGTCAAAATACCAGTATGGGAAGAAGTATGATAATAGTACCTTTGGCGGGAGTAGTCGCGAGAACACATCTAGTAGCTACAACTACCAACCTCCCTCGGGAGTTGTTGTGTCCCAGAAAACTGGGTTGTTCTCCAAGAATGCATCCTCAAGCACAAGTGGTTGTAGCAGGTTCGCTGACGATCACGTATGGGATGCAGCCCGTAGCAGTGGTGGAGTCCCACCTCAAGGGTCGTGGGGGCAGAAGGATCGCTTTGAAAATGCCTCTGGGGGGTATATCAAGCCTAGGGATGTTGATCTAAGGACCAGGGAAGGGGTCAGCTCCAAAGTACATCGAGACACCAACTACGAGGATGAAAAGTTGAGTGATTCTTTGTACGGGTGTAGAGTGAGATCAACACCCAGGAGAGAAGCCGAAAAAGATCACACCCAAGGAAGTAATAAGAACAGTACTACTAGGGAGGGTATTAGATCTGAAACCCTGTGACGGACCCAGGGCTTCGTACATGAAGGCAGGTTACTCTCGGTACGTAAATACGAGAAAGTAAGGCTTCGTTCTGAGAGGACTGGCAAAAGGTGTCAATAGCGCAAATGGGATTCTCATTGAGAGAAGGTCATGGACCATTAAGACAACACGGTGGGAAATACTGGCCACGTGAATGTTCGAGGGAAAGCAAATGCGTTGCGACAAAGGGAGCGAGAGATGGAGAAAAGGGAAGTAGACATCCTAGGGATAGTAGGTAGAGGTGCAAACAGGTGGAAAGTGAACGATGTATAATAAAGGAAGAAACAACTCATGATGCCACTTCATCCCATGCGTAGCTTGATGGTATGATATGTCTGTACGTGGAAACACGTGTATTGGTATTCACTGTCTCAATCGTTGACTGGTATTCTTGTCTTCCGTTATCGTTATTATCGTTTGTTGGTTTGTTACCACTAACTAACTCACTTTGGTATGTTATTCACCGGAATCTTGACCTTATTCGTATTGACACTCTCATTGGGAAATAAATCATTGACAAATCACTGAAACCCTCATGACTGGCTGACGACAATAAACTGGAGTATTGTCTGGGAAGTCCTTGATCCTTCGGAGTAAGGATCTGGAAGTGGAAAGGTATTCCGTCGCCCTTGCCCGGCGTTTAAAAATTAGCCTCTGCCTAAGGAAAATCCCACGCCATGGACGAGGCTGCCTCCTTGGAGGCAGATCGTTGCACACTGGCGGAAGCTCATGCCAGAGCATTACCCTTGCCCATGCCTCTCCTTCTCCAGGACCGCGACGCGAAAACGCGTCCGCCCTGTGTCAGTGGCTTAGTGAGTAATTAAATGCTACCATTTAATTACAACACTACCAGGACGTAAGTGATTAAGATACTGATAAACCATCGCCGTTTAAAGATTGTTACCTACTCTCCTTTTGAGATTCCTAATCATTCTTACCGCTCTTCTTCTCTTTGTTCTTCTCCGAGTCAGGTTTCATCTTGCAATAGAGTTCATGCATGAAAAGTCCTCTCGGATGAAGTAACCTCTGGCACAATCGGCATTTTTTACGAACTCCATCCATTTTTTTTTGCTTCGTCTAGATGAATGGTATATGCTATTTAAAGGAGGTTGCGCTACTTATTTGATTTATGCTAAATCAAATAACTTACCTACAAAAAGCAGAACAAATATTCAATATTTCAGGATTTTACCTATCATACACGTTTACCTTATCCACAATACTTACAAGCAAAGCACCCTAATCCTGTGGAAACAATGGTTTGAGAAATAATATATACCACCATTCCCGAGAGCAAGGACACCTTTGAGAAACATGTTACTCGAAAGACCACGCGCGGAATCAAACCCATCAACATCCAACACATTCGTTGGGACTGCCCTGGTACGGATGGGCATACTCGGATCAACCAAGCGGCGAACGCGTGGATCATTCATCAGGGCCTGTTTTGCTTTCGTCGTCTTGTCGGCAAGGCTCTGCTTCTTCTTTGCTAGATTTTTCACCCGGGCCGCCTTCTTCTCGTGGTACTTCACATCCTCATGGTAGTCCTCTTCCTCCGTTTTTTCCCGTTTGTTGCGTGGAATGATCACCTTATACCCGAGCGCGGTAAGGTACTGGATCATGTTCGCAGTCATCCCCTGCTGCTGGTTTTGGTATTCTTTCATCACTTGCATACCACCCAGCTGGCGCGACAAAACCTGCACGCTAGTGGACTCAGTAGGATCCCCAAGCATTTCATTAGGAAGAGTCTCCATCTCAGTCCCATCCACTTCGCCAGGAATTTTCTCCATTCCCATGGCTGGCGTTTTGCTAGAGCTAGAAGATGACATCCCCACTATTAAATAAGTACTATAGAAGTGCACTACTCTTAGGCTGCTGCAGTTTGTGAATTATCTTCTTGTCTAGTTAGATACTGTCTCGATTCCATCACTTTCAGTGAAGATCGAGCAGGAACTTTCTGAGTTCGGATTGCATCGGCGCCCAATCTCTGGGATTTCCATGGAATCCAAATTTCTCAAACGTGGAGGGTCGCGAATGGAGTCGCAATACCGCAAGCGTGAAGTCTCTAAATGCTGGAGATAATAGACTATGGTACCCACGCAAATGCGCCTGCCCATTCTTGATAGAAGAAAGAATCCCATGGCCATACTTAGCGACGCAGAGATTAGCTCTTCGCATATGCTAGCGCTTTTACTCTTATAAAAACCTAAGCAACGACCTCACGAAGAACCGTCCCCAATCATAAAATCCAACGGCTGCAGCTTCGAGCCAACCTCTGGCTGGAGCCAGAAGAGATAAATCCCATGCCTCTCCTCCAACCACTCTTCTCGCCAAGAGTCTTCCACTGTATGTGCTGGACAAACGTCAACGATGAACTGGATCACGATCCTATGCCCTAGCCTCTTTTCGTGTGCTGCCTTTTCAGCCGCAACCCGTTGGAGTGTGCGCATGAAAAGACTGCTGTCCGTCTGATGGTGCCCATTCTCGTTGCCGTCGGGAATAACGTACGCAGAACCTTCCCAACATTTTGCAGCGTCGACCTTCCAGCTCTTACGTGGATGGCTTGCGTTGAGAATTATCGTAGGCTTGAACTGAATATCATACGCGTCGGATATGATCGCGCTGAAGGTGCAGCCTCCTTTGGTTGTTTTCTTATTTGGTGCGTGGTTTCGGTTTACCCTGCGAGCATTCTCCTCGGGGATCACCGCATTCTTCTGCGCTACGTGAAACCTAAGAAAAGTCTCATCCAGGTTGCATCGTATTACCCTCGTCCCTGTTTCTCCATGCGTCACAGTTCTTCTCACCAAATAATCTCCAACCTTTTCCAAGAATTTGAACCATCTACCCCACGTCAACATTATCTCATCCCGCACCTGTGTGTCATCCCTGGCAGTATTTGACTCGACGTCTTTCGTTATACGCAACCCATGCCGACGCTGAAACCTCCACTGCCAATCATGGCAGGCCTTGCTTCCCGCGCCATACTTACACCCATAATACTCCCCAGCCCCGCGCGCATGCATACGGCTACAGAATGTATGCCTTAGCTCATGCGTCGACCATGATCGCTCACCGTTCCGATTAATGGCACGAAGCTCCTCAGCTAAAGCCTCTTCCACCTCGATCCTAGCCCTATTCTGCACCCCTCCCCGGCTAGATATTCTTTTCCGATTGCGGTGATGGTAAGCTTTAGGAGAAGACTCCTTGATTCTTGCCATATTGTCTCGCTTGAGTCCCTTCGCTATCTGCTCAATCTCATCACTATCCAAACTTTTTGCAGAATCCCCACCATCCGAATCCAGCAATTCCTCACCCGAGGAAGATCCATCCGAACTCTCCGCCCCTTCCGGTATTTCTACTTCCAACGCACGCAGCTCATTCCTCAGAGTTCTAGCCTCGCTTTTCTCCACTTCCTTGAGCGCGTCCAAGGTTTCAACATCAAAGCGGAGCAGTTGATTCCAGGAATACACGGGCGTCGCGCCGGGCCTTCCTATCTCAGAAAGTTCTATTCTTCGACGAAGAAACATAATTAGATAAGAAAATAATTCAAACCAAACTACCAGCAGCCTAATATATATATATATATATATATATATAAATCGTATGTCAGCGCAGCTATCAGATAGCCACCAAAATCCAGCAAAATAGATAACAACCCAAGTCTGAAGGTCTAGGATCAGTCACTTGCTTGCATGTGCGCGCACTTTATTTCAATTTCATTTGATCTGAGATTTTTTTTTGGCAAGATCTGAATCAAAATCGGGAAACCAGGAAGAACAATCAATTGATCTCGAATAAAATGAACACAATTTTTCTTATAACCACAAACCAAAAATCTACATTCGGGAGAAGGGTCCACAAGAATGAATCGCGCGCTCTGCTATGCATGAATATAAAGATGAATGTTCTTTTTTTTTTCAAGGTTTCTTTTTCAGTAATCCTTCAGAGGAACTAATCATGAGAATGACTCTTCATCACTTTACCGAGTTCATTCGACTCAAATAGTTGAAGCTTGATCTTCATCCCTCGTTGACAGATGTTCTTGATTTTTATGCACTCTTCATGTCCCTTCTTCCTGCTTCAGAATCATGTGGACAAAATATCTTCCCAAAGAGTTGATATCCATATTCTAATATCTTACTTTAGCTAGGGGTTAGCACCACCGCTAAGCATAAACTCTCGTGAGTCTCTAGATGTGAACTGCGCATAATGATTAGCAAGGGGTTAGCACCACCGCTAAATATATTACTCCATTGTCATGTACTATTTACATTGCACTCAATCTTTTGAGTCCTGGATATGTTTACATATTGAGATTAAAATGCTACCATATGAAGAAACTCGTCAAGTAATTCAATAAACGAGATAGGGGGTTCTCACCACCTTCTCGGTATATGAAAACTCATGATATATCCTACGAAATTACAATGCAACACTCAATACCCTACAAGGATCATTCTTAATCTATCTACTCACTGAACGAAAGAAAACAAATGAACAATCATCAGGGATTATATCTAATCAGCTTCTCTTGTCCCACAGAACGCGCCTAGAACCAATCCGCCTGAAAATAAGCTGCCTGGACCATGGCTTTCCAAAATTAGAAGATGCTTCCAGCCAAGAAAAGTCCCGAAGATGAAAACACTACGAAGCCCTTTCGAGTCCCATTCAGCTTCCTTCTTACACATTGTAATAAATATATCTACTTCGCATATCCATCACCTTAAGGTTGCTTAATGATCGTTCGGGCCACGCGGTAAACCAATTCTTTCCAACTGCAACACATCCTCTCCAAGGCTGCGTGGCAACGATCTTTATGATCAGGCGTAAAAAACTTTCGGTTATCCCATCTTAGAGATCAGCAAGCCTCAATCACGAAATCACTTGCAATGAGATCGCAGCTCATTACTCATGCATGCGCCACTATCTCAATATTTAGCAAAAGCTTCACAACCTTTATCATAAAATCAGGACCATATTGATGCAAGAGCAAACATTTCTTCGATCACGTTCCGGAATATCTCGCAGAAACTGAGTCTCGTTCGCGACAAATTTGCTCTTGAAATAAAATCTCGAAAATCCGCTTTTCTGTAGTATCATGCCATAAGAATTTTAAAATTGAATTGGGAGAAAGATAGAGATAGAGGAAAAAAGTCTCATAGGAAATCATTGGAGGTCCATCATATGAACACCTTATCGACGAAGAAAACTAAGTACCTGCCCAATGTGGTATTCCCTCCACTCCTTGCCTGCTACGCCTTTGTTATGCGTATTCTCCAGATCATAATTCGAGACGATGTAGCGATCACGTAGCATATTCACTCGTTCTTCCGTCAACTCGTCCCAATATAACTTCATGAAATCATGATTGTCTCCATACGGTGCGTTGGAAAGGCGGGAAAAATTGCGCAAGCCCCTCGCTATTAGAAGATGAGACTCAAGCACTCACTTGGCCGTCTCAAGGAAGAAAAAAAAATGTCTGGAAAATTTAATGGATGCATCCTTAACAAAAAACTTTGGGCTTGCTCGAAATGTTCCACTTCCGGGCCTAACATGAAATATTTTTTTTGAAGATCAAACTTATTTTGTAGACCATAACAAAAAACTTTGGGCTTGCTCGAAATGTTCCACTTCCGGGCCTAACATGAAATATTTTTTTTGAAGATCAAACTTATTTTGTAGACCATAACAAAAAACTTTGGGCTTGCTCGAAATGTTCCACACCCGGGTTGGTACGCTTCTCCCACATGGTATCCAGAGCCTGTAAAACAAAGATTCGGAATAATATAGTAGACACTTTATTACTGACCATTTATTAGTTTACTCTAGCCTTCAAATATTCTTTAAAAACTAAGTACTACCTTCCATAGTGGACAATTGTCTCGAGCTTCATCACCTTGCTTGCCAGACATAGTCGCGGTCTTCGCAGCCATGGTAGTCTTCGCCATTGGAACAGCAGTAGCTGGAGCAACAGACTTCGGCTGCGCAACCTGTGCCGGCTGTTGTAGTAGATAGATTACCGGCGTAGATGCTGGCGCCACACTCACAGCTTCTTCCGATTCTACTTCGACCTCCACCTGCGTCGCCGTAGGAGCGTGGTGATCTCCCTCTCCTACAGGCTCCTCTTCCACCTCTTCTCCTTGTTCTTCCTCGACATATTCATTTCCTTGTGGCACATACGGATTCGCAGGAAGTTCCACGTTTCCTCCCTCCGACGAACCAACAGCTCCTCCATTTTCAGCTTCCTGCGTCTGGAGTGAGTAGAACAAAATTGAGTTTAACACAATTTCAGTAAAGAATAAGATTTTCTTTTCTATTGTTACAAAGTAGCTTCCAGATAAATGCATCATTATTCTTCCCAAGACAATAGTTTATTACTGATGTCTCTATTTGTACCACTCCCAAACGCTGCTGAAGTCGACGCTTAGCTCCCGGCTCTAAACCTTCGAGAAGAGCTAGGATGTCCTCCTCGGAATGCGTTCTCTTCTGCCCCCCATGGTTGAAGGGATTATTATTTTCGCCGCCGAATCCAAATCCAAATCCATTCCCGAGGGCACCACTTGAGGATGAGGACGCCATTTTTGATTGCCTGATTGGATTCGTCCGACTACGACTACAATAGCTCCACTTACGTACTCCACCGGAATATTATTCAACACAAAATCACTATTCCACTATCCTTGATTAAGATTCATGCACGGTCGAAAAAAAATTCAGAGCAAACCAGTTCAGACTTCCAGGTTGATGGGGAAAGGGCTGGGAAAAGCAAAATCTTACCGACACACTCCTGCTATCATTAACAATCTGAGACATCAGAATATCAACGAGATATCAAATCAGTGACCACCCGATGAAGGACAACTACGAACAAAGACTCTCTACATCTCCATTTTACGAATCACGATCCAAAAGAAATAGCATGCACACACAGACGCTGACTTATCAGACAGAGCCTCTTCATCCTCATTAAACCTCGACGCATCATATTGATAACTCAACTCGTTGCCATCTCTTTCTTCGTTTCATAATAAAGGGTAGTATGCTACTCCCTGTAGCAATATTCATTTCTTCTTATACTCACTCTTTTCGATGAGCGTGCCTTTACCACGTCTCTAATTCCAAACTACTTTTACCCATATGTCACATCAAGCCGACTACGAGCCACAATAAAAATACTCAATGAATATAGTCAGCATGACACTCACATAATAGCTAGGGGTTCACACCACCGCTATATATCCAAATCTATACAACCTACTTTTGTATATGAATATGCTGCACATCAATTTTGGAACTCCACTAAACGCATGATAACGATTTCTGGCTGCCGACTTAGATGCGCACTCTTTTCTTCGTCTACCCTTGATTGCCTTCCTAGCCACTTCTAGCAAACAAGAGCTAGAAGAAAGAGATGCACCCCACCATAAAATTACTTCTCCATGACCATGCCTCCCACCATCGTTCTTACTAGTCCAAAATAAATCCGATCCACCTACACCCTCCAGGTTGTAGCTATAGTTGTACTCTGCAAATAAATTTGATCCATTCCACTCCCGCTCCAACCGAGGCCATCCCATTGGCACTCCTCTAAAAATCCACTTTGCCAGAATACCTCCGTAGGGTCTGAGATACACTTTAGATGAGAATAGTACATCAACCAAAACGAATGCTGAATCCAAATTTTTATTGCACATACCTCACCTCTTATAAAGAAAACAACTTCGGACAAGTACACTCATCACCTTAACCACCCACATGATCACTCCTTTTTCGAACTCGTGCTGGATAGAGAAACTCTCCACACTGGCATTTGCCATGCTCCCTAAATCCGGAGATAGCCCCACTGGTTCCAAAACTTGCGCTCCCACCCGCACTTCAGTCTCCACTTCCTCAACGCTGATATTCAAGATAAAATAATTAAAAATTAAAGCAGATGAAAAAAAGTACCCCATGTGCCAGCTTTGGTATGGAATTCGATTATATTAAATCTTCAACACTACTCCTCCAACTAACATTCCTTCTCATCTATACCTATCATCATCTACCTACCATTAAATGCTTATTACTCCTCCTCCGCCTGCCTCCTCTCTTCCCGCTCGCGCTTCCCGACCAAATTAGAGAAACATATATTCCATCCCAAATCAATTTCACTCTTCCCTTCCTTACAGGAGCAACATTTTCCCCTAAATGTCCCTCCTATATAACTTTGATTTTCATCTGAGCCATAATACGATTTTTGCCCATCTTTTTTCCGAGGTATCCTCCAATTTGTTGGTTCCTACCATGCCCCGACTTTCCTATCTAAATACAACTGAATATGAACTCCACTGTTGTCTATCCAAATCTATGTCCGTCCTATGCAATCGACAAGGACATTATTAAGAACGACACTCGTACCCCGCGAACGAACATTCCGACCACCTCTTCTCCTGAGCAACTCTCGAAGTCAAATGATGGAGAAATCAAATGATGAAACCTAGACTACTTGACTTCACTTCCATGCCTCTGTGCAATCTTTTAGCTATTCACTTACAATCATACTCAGTCTCCTTTAACTACGTCTTTTTGAAAGTCCATCTTCCTCCCATGTTAAGATAACACTTAGTACCAGCTTCTACCTACTACGCAAAAACGAATACAGCATCTATTATTACTACACCTACTACTTTGAAATAATAAAACTCCACCTACCTGAATGGATCCAGATAGGAATTACGATCATTATGTATACTAAGCTTTCTATATGGATTCTTGAAGCAACCACCAGCCACCGTATCGCACCCTCGAATCTCTGGAACAGAGGAAAGGAAAAAGGGAGAACAAACAAAGGGATTTATAAAGAACTAAGGAAACAAAAGCATCAATTTGGGAACGAGGGGATTTAATCCAGTGCGTCCCTTCTCTATTCGGGTTTATTTAATTTCTCCTTTTCTTTCTATGCATCTTCTTTTTTCTCTTTGCTCTAGAGATTCGAGGGTGCGTTATGGTGGTTGGTGGCAACTCTGGAACAAACAAATTATACCAAAACATATCAAGGTTGTGTATAGCGTTATGGTCGTTGGTGGAAACTCTGGAACAAACAAATTCTACCAAAATATATCAAGGCTGTATACAAAAGGAGGACTAAGATAACATCCTTTGAATCTTGAAGAGCACAAGTCGTTTTATGGTAGTCTGTGCAAAAATATATGTACTACATAACTAGTGCTTCCTACTACTACGTTCCTCCTCTAATCTTGAGTCCCGTTCTCTTAACATCGAAATGATAGACTTTTTCTTTTTATAACCATTCTGTATTGCATATCACTATGAGACGAAAAGAATTTCAGTTATGGTGTATCGTCTTCCAAATCGATGGGAAAGGAAAGGTCCCATCTCTGACGTGTAAGGCAAAGCGTTTTCGAAAGGCAGTACGGGCAGGAAGGAATGGGCTTCGTTTTGCGATTGTACACCACCTTAGTCAACTGGACGATTTTGTCTCGTTGGCTAGCCTGAAGGAAAGGATGATTGATAATGTTCAAAGAAGATAAAAATTGCTTGGTTGAAGTAGGAGAGTAACATGTGACTATACAAAAGTGGATGAGTCTGTACCTGTTCATTTTCAATCCGCACTGATTTGCTTGTCTTGTACCCATCTTGGTCAATTTCCAATCTCACTGGGTTCGTGGCCGTATGTAAATTAGAGAATGGGAGTAATGTGTACAAAATGTCTGCTCTCTAAGTCAAACCGATGGATATTGGTGAGCTTGGTATCCATATGGATTGAAGAGGTGTAGTAGACTAGCAGACATGTAGGTACTTTCATAAACATGATCGGCGCGGCATCTTTAAATGATTCCCGATCGGGAATCGCGTTTTTTGCCACAATAAAGGACCAAAGGCCCTAATATTCAAAATATTTCCCCAAGGCTGGAGAAGTAATGATGAAGATGTATTATATGAATCCGCAGCCTTGTGAGGATGAATGATAGGGATAATGAGGCAATCTTAAGAAAGGCTGGCCGGATGGTTCTACTGGTCTGGAGGATGTCTTAGAAAGGTTTGAGGAGGTAAGGAAAAAAAAAGATCAAGAGTGGAGGAGGGGGCTCAGGTTTTCATAAGTTAGCCAGCAATGATTAGAGTGAGGCGAGAGTCTTATTTAAGCTTCCAGATGTAAGTAGTTGCTTTCAGTGAAGCAAAAATTACCAGGGAAGTATAAAAAGGCTCTCAATGTTCGTAAGTTTCCAAAATCCTTCGGATCCCAACATTCCACGTAACATCCTTAAGCTCAATTCGTCAAGCTCGAGTTAGAGACTTTGGTACTATTTTCCGCTGACGAGGAGTCTTTAGCCTTGCTCCAGCGAAGTTTTGAGTTGCAGCGAGATGAAGATGTAGGATATCACATAAGCGGTAAGAATTACCCAGATTTAGCCATAAAGGAAGCATCTCGTCAGCGGAAAATAGTATCCGAGTCGGGCCAACGGCTGTCGTGGGTTTGTTGGTGAGCCTCAATGTGTCGAAAAGTAAAGGTTATTCCTTCAAGATAACCTAATAAGAATGATAGATAATTATTTTTTTATGTGAGTAGAGTAAGCACTATGAGAAAAATAAAGAATAAAATACGTAAGTGCCCACAGGAGTCGATCGATTAGAAGTTGACCTTCACAATGCTTCATTTGAGTTTCCTTTTGCGTGGAGAAAGCAAAAAGAATTATCATAAAATGAAGCAGGTGCTTGATAGCATAAGAATCTCGTAGTACTCATTATCGAGTAGCTCTGTTCATTAGAAGAAAAAAGATTCTGAGACTTCATCTTGTGTGGCTACATCTTGACTATTCCAAGACGTAGTCTAGGATGTCTCAGAACCTGAGTTTCGACGTGCCATATTTGAGAGTGTTGAGGATCCAGACAGATTAGATTCTGCATACTTCGGTCAGTATTTGCGAACATCTTTTATATTCTTTTTCTGAATATAAATGATGTCAATAAATACAAATGCGCGATTGCTCCGAAAAAGCATCATAAGATTTGCCGGTTCCGGATTCACCGCAATCATTAGAAAGAGGCGATGGCTGAGTTACCAGCACACATAAAGAATGACTTAATTAGAAAATTCTTGGTGAATAGCCCATAAAAATTGCAAGGGTGTTACCCCTGACGCGGCCAAGTGCCATCCAAACCAAAAGGATGATGGAGATAGCGTGAGGATCTCCAGTATACTGGCTGTACTCCTCAGGTAGTTCAGCGTGCTTCGATATTTCTGCGTAGCTCTCTAGGAACCGGCCATCACAGCAGCAGTCGAGGTTAGTATATTGTTGACAGACAAAATCGATGAGACGCGTATGCTGGAAATTACGCAATTGCAAGCATCTGATGGCCTTACGGAACTGTTGTTGAGGCTCGTGCGACCGATTGTTGCATGTTAGAATGTGGATCGGAAAAGGTATGGAGCAGGAAAAGAGTTTGAGTATGAGATAGAGAAGTAGTGGATATATGTGAAAAATCCTAATAAGTATTCATCCAGTTTTTTATCCGTCTTGGTAGCTTGCTGTAGGGCAATGTAATCGTTCACCAGTTGCTGCTCCAAGTAATCGCGGAACTCCAGAAAGTCCTATTTATTTGAAAGAAAAAAAGATTTGTGGACACCTTGTTGAGAAGCAATTCATCATAGAAGAAGTAGTGTTTGGTTGATGAAAGAAAATATATGACGCAATTGATACCATTTTCTCCTTGACGTAGCCTTCGGCACAGCCATCCGCAAGTATTAGAGGAAGCAACAATTTTAGTGGAATGCATTTGGGAATTTGATAGTAGTACAGAAAGGATATATTTTCTTAAAATTTCTTCGGCACTGCGTCGTACTTCACCATCTGCGTAATGCAGCAACATCGACCCATATATTTAGAGGGGATTGAGTCATAAAATTAGAAGCGTTTTTGCTTGGTCAATGATCTCTAGATAGACATCATTGACGGCAGGCACGCATCTAATTAAAGAAGTAAGGTCCATAAATGAAATTGAAATGATGTTTTTTGCTGCTGTCGTAATAGAGGTAGGACACACCTGGGGTTTGGGATAGTGGTTATTGGTGGATGCTACCGAGGACACCTATTCAGTGTAGGGCTGTAGCATCTTTTATTAGAACCAAAAAATGAAATAAAAAAAAAAATATACCAGCTTGCAGCGAACATGGGTTGTAGTGAACCATGATGCCTTTGTCAGCAAGGTGCTGATAGCTTTGTTTCCATCCAAATCGTTTTATTAGAAGATGTTCCTGCATAAGTTGAAATTTAATAGAGATTGTATAGTCTACGTTTAAAAAGCTAGTGTCTCGAAGAGTAAAGGGCAAAAATTTCTACTGTCTCGAAGAGTAAAGGCTTCATAATTTTTTTGAATTCCCTGCACAAATTTCCGCATGCTGCACGTTTAGAGATAGTTTCATTCTATTCAGAGACTTAGGGGTTGGCAATTTTGTATTTTCTACAAACTGCCCGCTGGTATCTGAATTGAGATAGTGATAGCGTAAATGGACTTGGCCATCATTGGATCGTTCTTTCCGGACCGCCGCCACTCTAATTGTTGTTCCACAACAGTGATGCGCTTCTAAGATCATTTTTTAGAAGGTTGAGTAAACAGCTAGTTTGGAAATGTAAGGGAAAACTAATTACAAACAAAGAGACATACGAAGTATAAAAAAATCAAGTAAGAAGAAGATACATAGTGAAGATAGGCCTTAAGAATCCAAAAACTCTTGGGTTGTGTGGTCCTCGGGATCCTTGATCGAAGGATTCTGATTTTTCAGCTTTTGCGTTGGTTTCGACCAGGTAATCATGAGTATTAGACGGGATTGAGCACATATAAATTGGCGATAAGAGAGGATCAACTCTTTGGAAAGAAAGAAAAGGTCCACATCATAAATATTGTGCATAATAATGACCCCCTGCCATAGGCGGAGGGCCAAAGGGTTCGTCCTGATTCCACACGCCAGTTGTTAGAAAATATTACTAATTGCTCATTTCTCACTACAAGAATACGTAGGAATCAGTATTCTTCGCGAGAGATGACCAAGTTCGAGAACCTTAACCATGGATAGACCATTCTGACGTCCTCCGCGATAGCTTCCACCACAAACGGAGCAATTAGAGGATGGCCCTTTAGTCCTGTTGAAAAGAAAACGTCATGCTTATTAGCTAAGGGAAATGGTAAAGTGGGGGAGGAAAATCTTAGAAACAGACATACGCGAAACTCCATCATAATTTTTCCTTTGCACCATTTTTTTTTGGGCGTCCACGAGCTACAATTAGTGAACAAGATGTAGACGTAGCATGAGAGAAAAGCATTGACTCCAAATACCTCTTGGAAAAAGGAATCAATGCTGTTTCTTTAAATGCTGCGCAACTGTTCAAAAGCATAACCTTTTCTCTTGAGGAAAAACTTGTCCTTCTAGTAAATCGTGCTCACCTTGCTCTATATCCACAGACTGAGAAGCAGGATGCAGAGATGTTGAAGATGAAGACTGAGTGGATGGCACAGCTTTAGCATCGTTAGTATCGGCAGGCTGAGTAGCAGTAGGAAGGGAAGATAGCGACGCAGTAGCATGAGAATCTTGAGTAGTTTTGAAGGGATTATTCTCATCTTGAGAAGAAGTTGGAACTCCTTGGAGGTCGTCCTCCATCTGCGTGATCTGCGTCTCGTAATGTAGTCCAGTAGAGGTGTCGCAATGCGTTTCGAACGTTGTGGAGGCAAAACAACTAGAAGCAGGCATCTGCGGTTGATGTTTCTTGACATGATTCCCCTTTTTCACTGCTTTAGCAGCGCATTGTTTTTTGGGGACAGCAGGCATTTTTTCGATGGATAAGAAAAGTTGTACTACAAAGTTTGATCCTAGGAATTGTTTGAAGGTCAGAGCTGAAATTGTTTGAAGGTCAGAGTTGATGGTTAAGACATTGGTTATATGAGTGCCAACATATATAGAAAAGGAAAGGAGAATTAATAGAAGATGGTAGATGATGATACAAAATACTAATAATCAAATGGAGAAAAATAATTGGGAATGAGGGATGGAAGAGCGCGTCTGGGAGTGTGGGATCATGAGAATTAAGATGAAAAGGTAAGAGCCGATATTGACAATGTGATGAGTAGGCTCTAACAGATACTTCATAAGGCGACTCTAACAGATATTTCATAATTGCGAAACAGAAGCGCGACAGTCACAGATAGTCTCACTCTTTCGGTATCTTTTATAGCATTGCTTTAATCAACACAGAAACAAAGATGACAGAGCTGGGAAGGAGATAGTTATTACAAGCAGCATTTCTCTCTTCGCTCGTCAATGGAAGGAACACCAGTATATCATTAGAGTCTTGTACTGTGTTCGAACTCTGGATAATAGTCCCTGGCATCATCATTGACTGTCTTAAAATATTCTTATTTGCGTTATTGGTTTCTACATTTCCATATTAAATGGAAATCATCTCGGAAAGAGTTGAAGAGTAGTTCAACTCGAGGAGATAATAAAAACGCATTCTGTCGCTCTTTCTTATGTCACGCATGAAAGAAACGGAGCTTATAATGATTTTCGCGAAAGGAAAGAATAAGCTTCTCTATGTTTTAAAAATCCCTACATTCCCAAATGCGATGCCTTTCAAATACGATAAAAGTAGGCATGTCGTGTCCTCGTGGTTGGATGATACCTGACCGAGAGAAGAATGCTACATTATCAATAATAATGTTTTGTTTAGTTTTTTACTCGGAAGGAGATATTATCAACATGGTCTCCGAGATTGAAAAAGTGATGAATTACTTCAATGCGTGATTAAATATAGCAAGAAGTATCTCAACGCCATCAATATAGTTGTTTCTAGTTCATGAATTAGTCTATTAACATTTTGAGTTGATACTCAATACATCAAATGTGGAGCAAGCAGCTAAGATCCAATGAAGTCCAAAGTACTGTGTAATAAATCTAAAGCAGTCGTGGCTTTAGAGGAATGCTACATAATTTCTCCTACTTAGTGTCTGCGAAAGCTCTGGATTAAGTTGCGTCTACTCCATTGATATTATCTTTCGGGATGTTGATTTCCTACTGAATCTGCGATGCAGTAGCGGCTTCGAGTTCCAGTAGAAGATCTGTGTGAGTGAATAGATTGAAGTTATACAGGGAAGAAGCAACGTTGCTGATGAGAATCAATATTACATCAAAGAAGAATCAATAGTATAGGAATGCGCATGGAGTATGTGTTTTTTATTGTAAATACTCTTTAGTGTAAATACCTGCTCCCGCCATCACGATCTGGAATGCATCGGAAAGGTCCGCGAGATATTCCTCCTCACTCTTTATTAATACCTGCTCCCATGATCACGCTCTGGGATGCATCGAAAAAGTCGGCAAGAAGTTCCTCCTCACTCTTATTTGTACTGGCTTTCGATTTTTTTTTTTTGGAATCGGTGGAAGATGACGTAGTTGCGCGTGCTCGCTTTGAGGAAGGTCCTGTGATATATTTGGTATTGAAATTTTCTGAAAAGATGATACATTGTTCCATATTCGATAAGGATGGATGGTATGTATAGAAAAAGAATACATGCTGCCACTTCATAGTACAAAAATAAAGGACCTGGTCCAGAGCTTGTTGCCTTCGCATGAGGTTCATCATCCTCATCACGAGTTAAGTCGATGATTTCTCCCTGTCCAGATGGCTTTTTTCCATTCACGAAGATTTTCGTATTACCATCGTCAAGTTCTTCGTCCATGTGGAATTCTTCATCGCGTAAGATGTCTTTTCCATGTGTTTTCGATCCACCAGCATCATCACGGACAGCAGAAGCTCCGATAATCGGGACAGGGGGAGCTTTCGAAGAAGACGAAGTCGCATCCGGTACAACTCCGGTAGCTGGAGTACCTAAGCATGTATAAACATGATAGTTATTAGTGCATTTGTATTTCTGAGAGAATGACATACGATACATTGGCTCATAAGAATAATAATGTTATACCAAAAAGGAAAATGGAGAGGAGTGCACCATAGCAGATTGCCAAGACGAGAAGAACTTGTTTGGAGTAGTAGACTTGTTTGTTTTTAGTTAGTAGTTCTTTTTTGAGCTGCTCGTTTTGTTCAAGTATTATTTGACATTCGGTCTGTTTCTTCTGGTGATGTTGTAGCCAATTCTTTTGGCTTTCTTCATGAGCAAACTGCTGAGTTGTGAGTAGTTCCGAGGTATAATCTGCGTGGTGCTGCATGGATCTTAGAGAAGCAGAAGCAGCTTCAAGTTTTCCTCGGGTGCTGTCCAAATCAGATCGAAGATCGCCATTGACATCAGTGGCAGAATTTTCAACATATTGAAGATGATGTAGAGCTTCTCCCAATTCTCCTTGAAGTGTTTCTATTTGCTCCTCGTATGTTTTACGACTGGCCCAATAACGTTTTCTCCAATAAGTCGCAGAAAAGTTTTCGTGTGGTTGCGAAGTGTCTGCTTCAGGTTCTTAGTTGAAAAAACATGCGCGAAGAAGTCAAGCTAAATACATGGCGATGGTTTATCGAATGGTGAGCGAAAAAACAAACATAAGTTGTCTGGATCCCGGAGGTGAGCTTCTTCAAAATGAAAAGCCAACATTTTCCACGTGGTAGATGAGAATTAGAAGATGAAAGGAATACAGCGAAGTAAGAGAGTGACGCGCTGAAGATATGCTAGATAATGGGCGAGCTAGGCTATCAGGGCCAGCAGATGAGGCAGCTCGAAGTGACGAACACTGGCGCGGACGGCAATCTTTGGCCGTCAGTGGTGTCGTTGTAGCCCTAACCTCAAGAAATTGGCTACGAGAATAGAAACCAGCGGGACGAGCACAGGAGTCAGCCCATTGGTTTCGTCTTCTCGGCGTGGTCCATCTTTTCGAGCTTTTATCTTCGGGTGGACTAAGCCCGAAGAGTACCCCTCTCGCCCACTTGAATGATGCGGAGCCTCCTCCCCACTATTGTGAGAATCTGAATAGGCTGAAGGCTCTGGCGCAGCACAATGCTAACTCGTGGGCAGTGACGTACCGGACGCAGGGGCTCCATGGACGAACCTCGAACAGTCTGGCACCGTCTAGCCTCATCCGACGCGCGAGATCTGCCAGTGCTTTGTTGATCTGCTCGCGGCTTCCGTGTAATCCCTCGCAGATCATCCCGCTGCATCATCGAAGCGGCTCGGTGTAAAGCCTCACCACGCCAGGAAATGAGAGGAAACCGCTAACGCGGCGACGTGGCGCAGGTGTTTCGGCGTTCGTTGTCCGGTCCTGGTGGACTTTATTCGCAGCGCCTGGCTTGTAATTGGATCCGGGAAGTACGTCACGCAGGAGATCCGAGATCAAGCCAGTAGATCTCAGCCGTCTCGTTGTTGAGGATGTTCGTCGACAGTGGTCGCGGTTATGTAAGCGACACCAGTGGCAAGCTCCGGCATGGTGGACCAACATGAAGCGCAATGCATAGGCTGAGGAAATTCCACAAAGGCGACGCAGGGGCCGCGAGTGGATGGGAAGGGAGCCACTAGCTCCATCCTACTGAAACGAGGCGAAAACGCAGGCACGCGGCAGCTGAATGAAGCGCCAGGCATGGGCTGAGATAACTCCACAGATGGCACGCAGTGGCCGCGGGTGGATGGGAAGGGAGCCACTAGCCTCATCCTACTAAAATTAGGCGAAAACGCACGCACGCGGCAGCTGAGGGCTGGGAATATTGTGCGCGTATACTTTAGCAGGGCCGGCAATAGTATAGCTAACAAATGCGCAAGGCTCTGAATCCTATCATAAATTCTGCACAGCATAATCCACATTGCTACCAGTGTAATGGGAAACGGTTCGCATCCGAAAACGATGAAGACCAGGAGGCAGCCATGTACGTAAGTGAGAGCTCGAATATAAAACAGCGACAATGAAGGGAGGGCAATCGTGGGCATCTTTTTAACTCGAAATCAGCACCCTGCGAATTTTTATCAGTGCCGATTAGAAAAAAAAGAAGAAATTTAGCAACTTTTTGGCATCTTTTCAACTGGAAATCGGCAGCCTGCGAATTTTTACCAGTGGCGATTAGAAAAAAGAGAAGCAATTTAGCAACTTTTTGGCATCTTTTCAACTGGAAATCAGCAGCCTGCGAATTTTTACCAGTGCAGAATAGAAAAAAAAGAAACAATTTAGCAACTTTTTGGCATCTTTTTAACTGGAAATCAGCACCCTGGGGAATTTTTACCAGTGCTGATTAAGAAAAAAAAACTCACAAATTTGATGATTTTGTATTTTTCTCGCCACCTGCTCCAAAATAAAAAAAAAACGTGGCGAAGGCAATCCCCACTGATGTGATTTTTTTCGCCGTGCAGCCACCCCCAGCCAAAAAAATTAAGAAGGTCCTTCTTTTTTTTTTTGGATGGGGGTGGCTGCACGGCGAAAAAAATCACACCAGTGGGGATTGCCTTCGCCACCTTTTTTTTTCCTTGGTGGCTGGGGTGGCTGGTCACTTTCTAAAAATTTACATTTTTGCCATTTTTTGCAGCGATGTGCTTAAAATTTGCGAAGGTTGAAGCCTTTCCAATTAGAGGCTTCACGGCTCTAGAAATTCCAAAAATGTTAACAAATTAAAAAATTTAATAAACGGGAGAAAAGAAAAAACCGCGAACGTGTGCGCGGTTTCTAGTGGGGCTAGAAGCTTAAACGCCGGGCAAGGGTACCCTTGCCCGGCGTTTAAAAATTAGCCTCTGCCTAAGGAAAATCCCACGCCATGGACGAGGCTGCCTCCTTGGAGGCAGATCGTTGCACACTGGCGGAAGCTCATGCCAGAGCATTACCCTTGCCCATGCCTCTCCTTCTCCAGGACCGCGACGCGAAAACGCGTCCGCCCTGTGTCAGTGGCTTAGTGAGTAATTAAATGCTACCATTTAATTACAACACTACCAGGACGTAAGTGATTAAGATACTGATAAACCATCGCCGTTTAAAGATTGTTACCTACTCTCCTTTTGAGATTCCTAATCATTCTTACCGCTCTTCTTCTCTTTGTTCTTCTCCGAGTCAGGTTTCATCTTGCAATAGAGTTCATGCATGAAAAGTCCTCTCGGATGAAGTAACCTCTGGCACCATCGGCATTTTTTACGAACTCCATCCATTTTTTTTTGCTTCGTCTAGATGAATGGTATATGCTATTTAAAGGAGGTTGCGCTACTTATTTGATTTATGCTAAATCAAATAACTTACCTACAAAAAGCAGAACAAATATTCAATATTTCAGGATTTTACCTATCATACACGTTTACCTTATCCACAATACTTACAAGCAAAGCACCCTAATCCTGTGGAAACAATGGTTTGAGAAATAATATATACCACCATTCCCGAGAGCAAGGACACCTTTGAGAAACATGTTACTCGAAAGACCACGCGCGGAATCAAACCCATCAACATCCAACACATTCGTTGGGACTGCCCTGGTACGGATGGGCATACTCGGATCAACCAAGCGGCGAACGCGTGGATCATTCATCAGGGCCTGTTTTGCTTTCGTCGTCTTGTCGGCAAGGCTCTGCTTCTTCTTTGCTAGATTTTTCACCCGGGCCGCCTTCTTCTCGTGGTACTTCACATCCTCATGGTAGTCCTCTTCCTCCGTTTTTTCCCGTTTGTTGCGTGGAATGATCACCTTATACCCGAGCGCGGTAAGGTACTGGATCATGTTCGCAGTCATCCCCTGCTGCTGGTTTTGGTATTCTTTCATCACTTGCATACCACCCAGCTGGCGCGACAAAACCTGCACGCTAGTGGACTCAGTAGGATCCCCAAGCATTTCATTAGGAAGAGTCTCCATCTCAGTCCCATCCACTTCGCCAGGAATTTTCTCCATTCCCATGGCTGGCGTTTTGCTAGAGCTAGAAGATGACATCCCCACTATTAAATAAGTACTATAGAAGTGCACTACTCTTAGGCTGCTGCAGTTTGTGAATTATCTTCTTGTCTAGTTAGATACTGTCTCGATTCCATCACTTTCAGTGAAGATCGAGCAGGAACTTTCTGAGTTCGGATTGCATCGGCGCCCAATCTCTGGGATTTCCATGGAATCCAAATTTCTCAAACGTGGAGGGTCGCGAATGGAGTCGCAATACCGCAAGCGTGAAGTCTCTAAATGCTGGAGATAATAGACTATGGTACCCACGCAAATGCGCCTGCCCATTCTTGATAGAAGAAAGAATCCCATGGCCATACTTAGCGACGCAGAGATTAGCTCTTCGCATATGCTAGCGCTTTTACTCTTATAAAAACCTAAGCAACGACCTCACGAAGAACCGTCCCCAATCATAAAATCCAACGGCTGCAGCTTCGAGCCAACCTCTGGCTGGAGCCAGAAGAGATAAATCCCATGCCTCTCCTCCAACCACTCTTCTCGCCAAGAGTCTTCCACTGTATGTGCTGGACAAACGTCAACGATGAACTGGATCACGATCCTATGCCCTAGCCTCTTTTCGTGTGCTGCCTTTTCAGCCGCAACCCGTTGGAGTGTGCGCATGAAAAGACTGCTGTCCGTCTGATGGTGCCCATTCTCGTTGCCGTCGGGAATAACGTACGCAGAACCTTCCCAACATTTTGCAGCGTCGACCTTCCAGCTCTTACGTGGATGACTGCGCTCGA